CATACAAAAAATAAAACAAATTTTACTAGGAAAGACGGGAACTCATTTCTCTGAGGAAATCCTGAACTTCTCAAACCAAAACACGTGAAGGAGAAAAAGGATTGACAAACAAAATTGGATAATTTTTTATTGCATGTGATTCACTAGAACTGTTGATGAGCTTCTTATTGCATGAAATTCATCAGATATGTGAAATCTGTAGTCTGTTTGTGATTGTGAAATCCAAATTACAGCCTCGTGGCTGGATAAGAAAATTTTGATTAGAGGAGGTTTGACATGTGGTTACTGCTATTTGGGATTTTTTTTTTGTTTGTGTTGGAAGCTCAAAACTTTGGGGGTTAAGGGGAAGAAGCATATAGAGAGCAGTTATGGGTAGATAAGTTGGGAAAGATGATGATAGAAAACGATGAGCTTGCTGGGAAACTTGATGGTGAAATTAAAACACTGTCAAATTTTTTTTTTTTTTGGGGGTGGTTGGGGGGTTTGAGCTATACCGGAAAAAGAAGAAGAAGAGATAAGATAGAAGAGGTAGACGAATGGAGGAGGAAGTCAGGAAATCCTCTCCTTGCCTGTCTAGTTGTGGATTTTGACGTTTTATATACCTAGCCCACAGTAGAAAAAAGATAAGCAATGTTAAAAAGATCAAACCCACTTTTAATAGAAACAATTTTAACCAAAAGACCCAGAACATAATGCATAGCCCACACGTTGGCTATTAAATAATATAGGTGGAATATTCAATATTGTATTTACAGTAATGAAATTAGTAGTAATTCCAAGTTCCAACTAATTTTGTTCGTCCAAACTAAGTTTTGCTTGTCTATTAAATTATATATATATGGTAATGACTGGTGTACGTCAGGCGTATACTATACGTCAGATAATGACTAATGTATGTCTGACTCATATATGTATGGTTCAGGCTAGCGTACGTCAGTCGTACATTGTACGCCCGTTGAGTTTTACTATTTATATATACATATATATACTTAAAAAAATATATTATATTGACGTATTTCAACGCTCTCAAAATATAGTTAGTAAAAAATGGACGCTCTTGTGCTCTCGCTTCCACTCCCGCTCTACGAATCGGTAGGCTAAAATGAAAGTGAAAAACCTACCAACCCAACTTTTCCCCCGACAATTATCACTCTTTTATTAAGCCTCTTGATCAAAAGATCAAGCATCCCAAAAAACCTTCGACAATCGTCCACACAAAGTCCAAACAGGACTGTACCTATAACAATCTACTAAAGGATGGTAAACATTGTACCCCTCCTCTAACAATATCATGACCAAAAGAATATAACAGTAAATCCTGCCCAGAACGATCAAAAAGAAGATGTCAATCATTTCGACAACTACCAAACACTCGTTGACATCGCTCCTTCTAGAGGAGGCTCAATATCCAGCACCAGAATGCAACAAACATTCGTCCATACGCGCCACCTTTTTTTTATTTATGAATAAGCAGATTTTATTCATCAAGAAGGAGGGTTTTGCAAAAGGAAAAAAAACCCCCAACTGGAACCAAGGTAGACTACACCACTGTTTACAACAAATTATCCGTTCAAAATTTGACTAACCAAACTAAAACAAGAAGCAGAAACACAAACCTCAACTTCTACCAAGCTACACTACTATACTATGAACATAATCTTCAGAGACAGCCAGCTCCACCTGAGGGAAGCCAAGCCTGAGTAGTTGCAGCAGTCCTTGCAACTTCTTCAACAGTTGATTTTCCAATAGAGCCTCACCAGACATAACTCGCCTGCATCGTTCCCGCCATAGCTCAGCCACCACCATTACCCAAAGAAGTCGTCCCCTCTCAGACACAGGGTTTTTCACCCTAAAAAGTGATATAACATTGGCCAAAGAGCCTTTCCAAGTTACCCCCACCACATCCCTTCCTGCAAACGTAGCTTTCATCACACTCTTAGAATACTCACAACCAAAGAAAAGATGATCTCTGGATTCCTCTGTAGAAGAGCATAGTGGGCACAGATTTACCACTGCACTATTCCACCTTTGGACCTTGTCCAGTGTGGCAATTCTATCTAGGATGATTAGCCAGACTAGTAGTTTGTCTCTAGGTGTACCATAAGACTTCCAAAGCAATGGGAACCACTGCACTGTCTCATGTTTATCACGCAGAGTCTCCCAGACTTTTTTAACTGAAAATTTATTCATCACACAGTCCCCCCAATACACCCCTGCAGGTCTGACTGTTAGATACTGAGCAACTTTGGACCTAATCTTCAAGACCTTCCTCCAGGCCCATGAGCAAGGTATAGATGTAGGTATGTCCCACAGAGAAGTGTAGGTGAGCTGGTAGTGCCTGACCCAGCTAGCCCACAGAGAAGAAGAATTAGAAGAGAGAGCCCAGAGGTGCCTGACTAAACAAGCCATATTCCAGCTTCTGAGGTCTTTAAAACCTAATCCCCCTTCTTTCTTAGGCCTAGAAATCAACTGCCATTGAACTTTTGCCCTTTTCCCTTCTTCCTCTGCACTCTACAAGAAGTCAGAGCATGCCTTTTCAACCATTCTAATCACCTTAACTGGAAGCTGGATAATCCCCATCCAATATTGAGTAATGCTAGAGATAACAGCTGATATAAGTTGCATTTTACCAGCATAGGTCAGGGTTCTCACCTTCCAGCCCCTAATCCTAGCAGTTATCTTATCAACCAGAGCTTGACAATCAGAGTTATTCAGTTTTCCAGCAATAAGGGGTATCCCTAAGTATCTCACAGGTAGTTTTCCAATAACAAACCCAGTTCTAGAGGAAATCTGAGCCTGAACCCCAATTTCCACACCCCCACAGAACACTTCACTCTTTGCAGGGTTGCATCTCAATCCAGATACAACATAGAAAGCATCCAAAATGGACTTGGCTTTTTCTACAGCTTCAGGAGTCCCTTTTGTGAAGACCAAAAGGTCATCAGCAAAACATAAGTGAGACAACCCTATTCTATGGGTTTGAGGATGGGGAGGGAGAGTTTTTATGGCATAAGCCCTGTTTAACATACATGTGAGGAGTTCCATGGCAATAGTAAAGAGATAAGGGGAAAGAGGATCCCCTTGTCTCAGCCCCTTATGAGCAGAAAAATATCCAACTAATCCCCCATTAAAGCATACACTCAACTTTGTATTATGTAAACAGACCTCAATCCATTTTATAAACTGTGCAGGGATTTTCATGGCTTCCATTACTGTTTTTAAGTACCCCCAATCAACACTATCAAAGGCCTTCATCACATCTACCTTTAGGGCACATCTAGGGGATATAGCTTTTCTGTTATACAACCTCACCATCTCATGGGCCAATAGTACATTATCACTAATCAATCTACCTTTAATGAAAGCAGATTGATTTTGACTAATGATACTAGGGAGTACTTCTCTAAGTCTGTTTGCTAGGACCTTAGCAATACACTTATACAGTATATTGCAGCATGAAATTGGTCTAAACTGCTTCATACAATTAGCATTCTGCACTTTAGGTATTAAAGCAAGGTAAGTAGAGTTTACCTCCGTGAGAAGTTTCCCTGTTCTGAAAAAATCCAAAACTGCTTCAGTGATATCCCTTCCCAGAATCTCCCAGTTTTGCTTAAAGAATCTGGCTGTGAAGCCATCTGGTCCAGGTGATTTATCCCCATCCATAGAGAATAGAGCTGTTTTTACTTCTTCACTGTTGACAAGGCAACACAGGGAATCTGCTTGATCAGAGGAAAGAAAGTTAACTAGGAGCTGAGAGACCAACTCACTATTTATCCTCTGGACATCTGAATTCTTAGTGCCTAAAAGCTTCTGATAAAAGTTCACTGCTTCCTCACTCATCTCCTTAGTATCAGTTAGAACAGTTCCATCTTCAGTGGTGAGTTTTTTGATAGTTGACCGAGCCTGGCGTGATTTCACAGAGTTATGAAAAAAGGAGGTGTTTAAGTCTCCTGTTTTCACCCAAAGCTGCCTTGACTTCTGTCTATAAATTGCTTCTTCCTCTTTAAGAAGTCCCAGTAACCTTCCCTTACATTCATTTACTTTTTGAAAACTCTCAAGAGTAGGCTGCTGAAGAGCTGCTATCTGCAATCCCTCCATTTCACCTTGGACAATACGAACTCTTTCAGAGATCTCTGAGTAAGAAGACCTATTCAGTTTTTTCAGTTGCTTTTTTACCTCCTTCTGTTTCTGGTAAACAACAAACATAGGTGTCCCCCTTATTTCCTTTCCCCAGGCTTTTTTGACAATCTTAGTATAGTGAGGGTGGGTCTCCCAGCAATTGAAGTATTTGAAGGGCTTAGGAAAGGTAGTTATCTGAATATCTGTGTTCATGAGCAAGCCACAATGGTCTGAAAGCCTTGGGGGGATAAGGCTTACTGCATAGTTAGGAAAAACACTCATCCATCTAGAATTGACCAGGATCCTATCTATCCTTCTAGCAATAGGATTCTCCACCTGTTTGTTGGTCCAGGAAAACCAAGGCCCATCAAATACACTTTCCTCCAATTCCATTCTTGTTATCCAGTCATCAAAATCAACCATACTCTGTGTCTGAGTTGGGTTGTTTGAGGCCTCAGAATGGTTTCTTATTGCATTGAAGTCCCCTAACACTATCCAAGGCATGTTGTTATCAGGCTGCAATACAGGGTGATGATATAAACTTCTTCTAACCCCCTCTTCATTTGATCCATACACAAAGGTGATCCTGGTAGGCTGATCTCCTCTGAGTTCACCATGTATAAACTGCTCTGACTTCTCTAGGACAATAAAATCCAAATCCCTTTTCCAAAATATCCATATCCTTCCTAGAACTGAGTATTCATAGTTATGTACACAATCCCATCTACCAAACTTCAGATCAATTATCTCTTTTGATTTTTCTTCCTTCACCCTTGTTTCCAGAATTCCAAAAACATCCACATTCTCTTTACCTACCATTTCCAAAACCTGCTTCTGCTTACTGGGATGGTTAAATCCCCTTATATTCCAGGCTAACACCTTCATTTCTTAGGCTTAGGTTTGGCAGGCCTACCTGGCCCCTTCTTACCTTGTTTACCCTTCCCTTTTCCACCACCTTCTAACACAGGAAAATCATCCAGATTATGAGAAACTGGACTGCTAACCAAAATATTACCCACCTCAAATGATTCTACTGCTAGATTCTGATACCTATTAGTTACTGGAGTGATGGATGCCTCCCTTGCAGGAGAAGTGACTTGTTCTACCATGGCTGTCTGCAATTCACCTTCTGATGGCAGTTCAATAGAGCCTACCCTTTGCCATTCAGATAGCACACCCTGTTCTATCGATTTTACCAGATTTGCCACTGCAATGTTCAAGTTGTGACAAGCAACCTCAGCAGACTCCTGAGCTTTGCCCTTTGAAGCCAGTATCGAATCCAAGATCATCTGACCAGCACTTCCAGTTGCATTCTCCCCACCCTCAATGACCTGACTACAAACTTCAGCCCTTACCTCTTCCACATTGTCACACTGATGGCCAAACACTCGGCATTTTTGACATCCTACTGGTCTATTGCAATATTCCAGACTGACTTCAAATGCCGGCTTATGGTTAGGGACCAGTTTCAGAGTCTCAGGAAACTTCGAATCTATGGACATTTCAACGCAAACTTTGGGAAATCCCATTCTTCTGCCTAGCCTAGTCGATTGGTCAAACCACAGCGGCTTACCTATCATACTTGCCAGACGAGTCAGGATTCTACCAGTCACGAACTCAACAGGAAGGTCTTGGAAACAAATCCAGATGGGAATGGTGGAGTCACAATTTACAGCTCTGATGCCCGGTGACCACTGTCGAAGAAAACACATGTCGTTGTTGAAGTGCCATGGACCGCTGGTGAAGACCCAATCTGCAACTGTCGCATTTGGAAATTGGAACAGAAAGAGCTGCTCACTCAACTTCGAAACCCTAACAGTGCCTGAGTTGCCCCATAACCTGTTCGCCCAACTCTGCAACTGCTTCACAGACGGAGTAGAGTGGAGAAACTGTCCAACAAGACTGTTCTTCCACCGAGCTTCTCCTTCTTTAACTAGCTCCTCAGGGATCCGCAAACCTCCATCGACGAGCTCTGGTTCGATATACACCAGGCGATTTGCTTCAGCAATTCCGAATAAATCAGCCCACGATTGACCAATGGAAGCCATCGGTGCTTGGAGGAGTTCAATCGACGAAGAAAGCCGGCCGGGAGATGTGTCCGTTCTGATCAGGAAGCTCGCGCGACGGAAAACCGCCTGCGAATCAAGAATCGCAACGGCCTAGAGAGAGAAGCGAAGAGAGAGAGAGAGAATCGTTACGCGCCACCTTTCTTCACTTCATTACATACATTGCGCAGATAACCATCCCAGTCACGCGGCCACTGCTGCACTTGTCTGTCAAAAAAAGCTTCAAAAAGTTTCAACGCATACGGGCATTCACAGAAAAGGTGAGATATACTTTCAGCTGCACCATTACACATTACACACGAATCATCATTAATCTTCCCCCACTCCTTAAGTTTGTCTCGAGTAGTGATGCAGTTCAGAATAATAAGCCAGGATAAGAATCGATAGCTAGACAAAGTAAACTTGCTCCAGATCACCCTCCACGACGGCGCCACTGGTTTCTTCCTTCTAATATAGAGCCATATTTGACTTATAGAGAAGCAATTTATAATCCTGCCCTACCATGCGATCTCTCTTGTAGATGTGCATTTCATTCGATATTGAAACCAACCATGCAATTTTAATAAACTGCGCCAAACTCCAGAACCTGCAGCTGTGAGAGGGGCTTCCCAAATAGAACGTCCCCATAGTCTATATTTATCGACCCAGACCACCCAAAAACTACCACTTCTCATGAGAAGTATCCATAAAAGACGTGGAATACAAGCCACGTTCCACAACTCCAAATCCTGCAATCCCATTCCACCTTCCTTCTTAGGGCTAGCAATAATTTCCCAAGCCACTTTTATTTGTCCCGACTTGTCACCAAACCATAAGTAGTCAGAACAGAAAAAATCAAACCAGTCGAGAATTCTAATAATAATATTCTTAGGCAATGTGAACACATTCATCCAGAGCTGAATTAAAGAATACAACACTGGGGAGACTAGGTGAAGACGTCCCGCATAAGAGAGCTTATTAGCACGCCATGATCTGATACAAGTAGTGAGCATATCAACCAACACACCACATTCTCGACTGGTAAGCCGCCCAGATATTAGGGGAAGCCCCAAATATCGGACCGGAAGAATGTCCTCTTTGAAGCCAGAGACCTGAACTGCGTTGTCTTTATATTGAAGTGTCTGACCCCCAAAGAAAACCTCTATCTTTGCAGGATTACACTTAAGACGTAACATACCATAGAATTCTTCCAATAAGTTCTTAATATTACTCAGAGCCACAGCAGATCCCTCAATGAAAATCAATAGATCATTCGCGAAGCATAAATGCGTTAGATCTATTGACTTACGCTAAGGTTCATATGGGATATGCAAAGACTGAGTTGCTTGGTCCAGTAAACCAAATAGAGGTTCAATTGCAATAGCAAACAAATACGGTGACAAGGGATCACCCTGTTGTACCCCTTCTTAGCAAGAAAGAACCCAAAAAGAGATCCATACAATGAGATACCGAAATAGGCAGAGGTAAGACAAGCCAAGATCCGTTCTATAAACAAACTAGGAAATCCCATCTCTACCATGACTTTCAGCAGATAATTTCAACTCACAGAATCAAAAGCTTTTTGTAGATCAATTTTGATAACACAACTTGAAGAAATAAAGTCGACTTTTATAATTCTGAACTATTTCTTGCGCCATAAAAATGTTTTCAAGAATACTTTGCCATTGACAAAGGGAGATTGATTTCGACTAATGATTGCAGGGAGAACACACCGAGTCCTATTGGAAAGCACCTTAGAAATAATCTTGTAGAGCGTATTAATGCAACCAATTGGTCGAAATTGAGCGAAATAGGCAGCATTAGGTACCTTGGGAGCCAGAGTGAGAGATGCAGCATTTAACCCTTTGGGCATTTGCTTAGTTTCTTTTACTCCTGCATAAATGTCTGATCCGAGTAAAGACCAATGTTTTTGAATAATTTCAGCAGGCCACCATCAGGCCCCGATGCCTTAAGGGGATTCATGAAAAACAAAGCGTCTCGAATCTCCCTATCACTAAACTCAGCACATAGACTTTGCTGTGCCTCCTTAGTCAAACGTCGTCGGGTGTGTTTTGCTATCCATTGCGTATCAGGATGAATATCTTTATTAGCAACTCCATAAAGGTTGTGGTAAAAAAGCACAGCTTCAGCATCAATTCCTTCCTCATATGTAATCACCACTCCCGCAATTGAGATCACCTTTCTGAATTGTTTCCTTGCTTATCGTATCTTTACTGATTTATGAAAGAAAGAGGTATTGGAGTTGCCTAGAGTAAGCCATTGTATTATCGATCTCTGCCGGAAAAAACTATCTTCCATCTGCTGTAGATTAGCAAACTCGGCAGCTAACCCCCTAACCTCTCCATATGTGTACGAGTTTGGATAATTAAGATCCTTAATTTGTGCTAACTTCAGTCTGCTTTCAGCTTCCTTAACCCTGCCACTGATATCATAAAAATGCTTTTTGCTCAATGTTTTCAGGCCACTCTTCAGCATTGTAAGTAATTTTCGAACTCTCTCAAGAAGAGAGCCATACATCTGCGTACTCCAAGTGCGACGAAGGATACTGTCATTGTCTGGATGAAGTGTCCACATATCATAGAATGTGAAAGGTTTGGGGAAATATTTCATGGGAATTGAATTTAACCAAGATACCACAGTGATCCGAAAATGATGGAGCAAGAAATTCAAAAACACAGTTCGGAAGTCGACACAACCCGTCCTCATTAATAAGCATCTGATAGAGAAGAGAAAGATAGAGAATCAGCCGACGCCTTTAGAAGGTTGAGATCAAGAATTGAGAGAATAGGAAGAGATTAGGGTTTAGGAGAGTTTTCTTAATATCCTTCTTATTGGTTCCGAATAAAATGCTAAGTACATATTTATAACGAAAGACTCGAAAAACCTAATAGACTATCCTAATATGACTCAATGACTTCTACCATATCTAATAATATCCTAATTATAGTAATGATATTTATTACGATAAATCCCAAGAATTGGGTTTCTATCATCCCATCCCCCTTGAGACCAACCTTGCCCTCAAGGTTGACTAATTAAACCCACTTCTCCGCATGCTTCGTGCCATCCGCACGTGGACTCTTTCCTTGCTTACGCTTCCTCGTCTTCCAATTGCATACTCGCATGAGACTTCTAGCACAAGAAGCTACCCCTTCCTTAGACTAGGCAGACTCCAAGCCCATTGCACCCCTCCTTCTCCTCTAAATTCCTTGGACCTGTCTCCTTAAACCCAAGGAGCCCACCTCTCTTTTTATTTAAGTTCATCCCACTCAAAGGTACCCCAAGCAGGCAATATAGGAGTGGCCCAGTTCCCTTTTAAAAATGCGGCCCGTTCTGTTGCTCCACTTGGCTCGAAATAAATCCAGTCGACTCGACCCGGCCCGACTGGGCAAGTTCTTGTGCGGGCGGTTTAGGGTTGGCGAGAGCAGAAACACGTCGTCCTCCTTGGTCGATGCCGCCACGGGGAACGCCGTACTCGTCCTCCACTCTAGCCTCCTGTCCATCGTCTTCTCTGGCGACGCACGAGGAGGTTCCTCGTCGCTCTTCGCCTTCATCTCCCTATCCGGCGACGCGCGAGGAGGCTCCCCGCCGTCTTTCGTCGCCACCTCCTCCTCGTCGGTCGACGCCGCCTCCTTCTTGTCGGTCGGAGTCGCTGCATCATCTACCAGCAATCGCATGCCCACCTCCATTGCAACGGTCCCAGGCTCCGCCTGTCCAGCCGTCATCCGCTACGGGCAGCGGCGACTCACTCCGCCGCACTGCCGACCCCGCGGTTGCCCGCCGTCGACGACTTCCGCACCCCACCGTCCGCCTCCACGGCCTGCGTTACCGCCCTTCGTCTCATCGCCGCGGTAGCCACAACCTCCCGGCCTTGTTCGTGTGCGACTCGAGCTTGGTCAGCCCGAATGGCGTCAATCTATTGATGCACACAGGTCCAGGCCAAATCAGAGAGCCGATCGAGCTCATGGAGGCTCTGATACCAAATGATAGATAAGAGAAAGATAGAGAATCGGCCGACGCCTTTAGAGGGTTGAGATTGAGAATTGAGAGGATAGGAAGAGATTAGGGTTTAGGAAAGTTTTCTTAATATCCTTCTTATTGGTTCCGAATAAAATGCTAAGTACATATTTATAACGAAAGACTCGAAAAACCTAATAGACTATCCTAATATGACTCAATGACTTCTACCATATCTAATAATATCCTAATTATAGTAAATTATAGTAATAATAATTATTACAATAAATCCCAAGAATTGGATTTGTATCAGCATCCTATCTAACTTCTTAGCAATTGGATTTGCCAGCTGCTGATTAGACCAAGTGAAGAATAACCCTGTAGCTTGATGATCCACTACTTCAATCACTTCCACCCAACGACGAAATGCCAGCATACTAGTAGTAAGAGTTCTGCCATTAGATGCCAATTCACCCTTGTCCAAACACAATTGAGGGTCTTCAACTACAACCTTCTCCTTCCTACGCCAAACCCTCGGGCAGCCCCTTTGGTTGAGCATAACATCAGTCATATCCCTATTAATCACGGAATGCCCATGAAAAATTATTTTTAGTAAAAATTTAAAAAAAGAACATATTTAGAGCCGAGATGTACACCTTGATACGGTATTTACCGTGACTTGATGTCAATCACTCAGGTAGTATACAATACTCAGTGCCTTTTACCGTAAAAATGGTAACGGTAAATACTACTTGTAGTCGCTGGTTATCCAGTGACTAAATACTAACCACTAGTCATAGTATTTTATTTTAACTAATTACAAGCCACTATTCGCGATAATTTCTCACGACGTCCGTTATTATATTTTGCAACCAACATATGCACTAAATTTAATTAAATCTCATCGATAATATAATACTAAAAGTAACTAAAATTCCCATTATATTTTGCAACAATCTGTTAATACAATTGGTTTAAATTCCATTCACTAATAAACATAATTGACATAAAATTAAAAAATCGTTTCTTCTAGCATGAAACTCCGACCAAATGAAACTAGTTCAAAATATAAGAGAACATTTTCTGCTCTGTTACAACAGTTAGCTAGGTCTGCCTTTCCTCGATCCTGGTGTCATAATTTCATTGCCAATTTTCCTTTACTCAAAGCATTCCAACCCTTGAAGTATTTTCACCCTAGAGACATAGAAACATGACTCAAATGAGCCAACCGTTAATGCTCCCTCTGACAAACTCGAAGGAATCAAACATACATAAACCCATAAACAAAGCACTAGAACACTTGTCCTCCCCCAAGAAAAAATAGAGTAGAAGCACAAAATTCACAAAATAAAAGCTGAACTCATACAAACATCTAAATAAAAGCTTGCAACACTCAAACTCCATCAACACTGTCTAAACCAAGCTAAAGACATATGGCAGCAGCAATGTGCCAACACTCACACTTAATCTTTACTATAGCATTTTAAGGTGCAGTTTATTATCCTGGGCCAAAACCACATCTTGGCCATGCGGTTTCAGGTCTGCCCTAAATAAACCGCACGGCCGAGGGGCGGTTTTGGCCTGACCTAGCAAAACCGCACCTTGGAGATGCGGTTTGCTTCTCCAAAAGAAAAACGCATTTCCAAGGTGCGGTTTTGCAGACAAACCGCACCCCCCAGTGCGGTTTGTGTGTCAATTATTTTCCGACACTCGACATACACCCAAAGTGGAAGACCACCATGAGGCCCAAGACGATGTTCAATATGCAAAGTTCCAGGACATGATAAACGAAGGTGTCCAGGACCGATTGGTCCGCAAACACCGGGTCCTGATATGGCAGACTCAGCTAATGCTAATTGTTGATTGATGACTTCTTTGGCAAGTAATTGTGAATTGTTGAGATGACTTCTTTGGCAAGTAATTGTGAATTGTTGATTGATCGAACTTGGATAATATCAAGTTAACACGAAAAAAAAATGGAAAAAGCCAATTACATAGAATTAAAAAAAAATTAAAACAACACTCAATTAAATAAACTAAGATAAGAGGAATAGTTCCAAGTACATATAATTAAAATTCAACTCAAAATACATCTCAAGGAAGTCCACGAGCTTCACCAAAACTGACGGTTTTCTTGCTCCTTGTACGACGGGCGACGGGAGTAACAATAGGTGGTTGCGGTGGAAAGTTTCGAATGGTCGAGGTAGTGTGGCGCTCGTCGGTGCTGTGTCGGCGGAGAGGCGGGGCTTCCGGGGTCGAGCGGGGGACATCTGCGCTCATTCAGTGAGGAGTAGGAGGCCACGGCTGATGAGTGAGAGTCCATGGGGTGAATTCGTGGGGCGCCGTCGTGGAGGAACCATCATGCCAAGTACGTGATGATGTAGGGGGATCTTGGTAGTAGACCGGGCGAGAGTCGTAGTATTGTTGGCGGGGAGGTGAGGGGGGGGGGGGGGGTAGACCGGGCGAGAGTCGTAGTATTGTTGGCGGGGATATGGGAGGGTAGAAAGGGTGAGAGTCTGGAGATGGGGGGTAGACCGGTCAGGAATCGTATGATGGTTGGCGGGGATCGTTGTACGAGATCGGGTTGGGATCATATGGGGATTGATGGTAGCTCGGAGGGGATTGATGGTAGGTCGATCGGGGATCGTAGTATGAGCTTGGGTGGGGATCGTTGTGGATGGAGGGGCGGTGCTCTTGGGATGAACTCGGGCGGGGATCTTGGGCGGAACTCGGGCGGGCACTATGTGTCACAACCAATGGGGCCGACACTTTCCACGCCTGATATGGCGTTACGTCGGGCACGTTGGGCCTTTCCCAAACCCTCTTGCTCTTCTTTATCTCGTATGGTGGTGGGGGATCGGGGACATCAACTTGTACCGGAGGTGGCGGAGGTGCGGGCATGGGCGGATATCTATGATGATCCCGACCCTGAGCTCTGATACAGGCAAGCAGACAGTTTGCCATCCTCCTGATGAAGCTCACATCTTCATTGCCCAGCTCAACTCTCCCAGTGGTCATATCTTTGATCCGCTCGATCCCATCAGCATAAATCACAAAAAAAAAAAAAACAAAGTTAGAAAAAATTTTAGGAACTAAGTAATAAACTATAATTATTGTTTAGACGGAATGCACTTACTAATGCACCATCGGCCGCACCCTCCAGAGTCATGTACCGAACCGATGTTTGCCGATATCGGTCCAAGTATGGGTCATGATACCCCATTAAACTCACTTGAGTTGGAGTGACAATATCCAGGGATTGTCGGTTCTCCCACATCGTGATGAATTTCGCCAACTTCGTGGGCCAATCGCGAGTACCTTGCCGACCATCTTGGTGGTGAAAGGCCCTTTGACTATCGAGGACCTCCAACGGAATGCACTGCTCCCGACCAAACTGGCGGAGGCATCGATCCGGCAAGTGCCACTCCACGGTCCCAAAACAAATTAGAGGGACCCTCGTGCACCATTGCCCGTTATGCCCGGGGAATTGCTGGAGATGCCAATGAACGATGTTCTCCGGGTATGGATCGAAGACGATATACAAGAAAGAAATGAGTAACTTAAGTTTATCAGAATTGGAAAAATACATGTAGTCCATGGAAAAAGATATGAATGGATCGAAGTATAGAAGTTACCTCTCCTTCCCAAAGTCGCTCAAACCTCCTCCGATACTCGTCCAACTTGTGTTGGGCAAGGTTGTCACATGTTGTGTGTCCGAGCCACCTTATTAATAAGACAATAATGAAACTACAATAAGCTAAAACACAAGGGAAAATGTGTTATGAAAAACATGATGGGGTATGAGAAGTTTACCTTGTACCATAAGTTTCACCTCTTAGGGGATGATCGATTGGCCAATCCCTGTCGGGACGTTGGACCGGTGCAATCCATGGCATATGCTCCCATGCCGAAAATTGGACGATGAACATTGCGCCGCCGACCTCCCTCACAGCTTTTAGAGACGCATTGCACAAATTGTGGTAGATATTAGCTAGGCAAGCGGATGCCCAGCTATACTCCCACATCTCCTCCCAACTACCGAGGATGAACCTAAGCCATCCACAACTAAGGAGATTGCTTGATTTTTTGGAGAAGAACACTCCCCCGATCATGCCTATTAGATAGACACGATCATATCTTTCGTTCTCATCCTCCAGACTTTCCTCGGTTAGGGGATGACTCTCATAATGGTCTCTAAAATACTTCGTCAACCAAGTAATTGAGACTTGGTGTTTCCTCATTTGTGGCAAGCGATCGGTCGCATCAACGCTCCCCTTGACTGGTACTTTCACTCCCAAAACACTATGGATGAAATGAACCCAACCGGGCATACCGTCACGATCCTCGGGGGGATGATCACTCGCGCACACCGGTTTGCCATCGATGGGCAGATGGGTTAGGATGGCGACATCCTTTAGCGTGATGGTGGCCTCTCCTTCTCTAAAGTTGAAACAATGGGTCTCCTTCCTCCATCTCTCAGCTAATGCGGTGATGAGTTGGACGATCGACTTTGATGTCGTTAAAATGTCTTATCGGGTCCAACCATGCCCTTTTGAGAAAGAGCAAGATAGCTGGGTGGAATAGGAGCACATTGGTCGTACCCCTGTAGCGGAATATTGTTTGTGCCTCCTAGCGAAAATTTACACGTTAATTATTATATATTAGTAAGAGTTTTTTCTTATAACTAAATTAATTAAATAAAATTATTTAACTTCAAGCAGAATTTTATTATCATAAAAATACATTTCATATATTAACATAAGAACATTCTAAATCGAATATAATTTAAAGAGATACATACCTATTATCATAAAACAAACATCCTAAATTAATTAACATAATAACATTCTAAATGAATAATAATTTAAAGAGATACATGCATATTATCGTAAACAAACATACTAAATTAATTAACATAAATAACATTGTAAATGAATAATAATTTACAGAGAAACATACATATTCAAAGGTTTGAAATTAATAAAATTCATTTTCTACACATAAACATAAATTGTATTGGTTGTTTGGTAAATAATTTAATCGTATTGGTTGTTTTAAATAATTTAATCGAATACAAAGCAACACTCGTTAGACTCTTAGAAGAGGTATACATCTTCTTAGAAATGCATTCTTTTTGACAGAAAAAGGG